AGTACGATGACAGGTGTGAAGTGCTGTACACTGACACGGATTCCCTGCTGATGGAGATTCGAACCGAGGGCGTGTAACGAGGACATGAAAAAACACCTCGATTTATGCGACACCAGCAACTACCCCAAGGACCATACCATACACAGCACGGTGAATAAAAAGGTCCTAGGTAAGATGAAGAGGGCGAGTGTGCTGGCACGCCCATAGCCGAAATACATAGGGTTGAGGCCTAAGATGTACTCCATACTGAAAGCCGACAATAGTGAGATCCGGAAGGCTAAGGGTGTTAAGAAGTGCGTGGTTAAACAACACATCAAACACGCCAGATTCAAAGGAAGCCCTGTTCAAGACCGCACCTTTAGACATAAAATGAACACACTTAGAAGTGATGGCCATAGGATATACTGGACTGACTATAAACAAAGGCGTCCCTGTAAGCCTATGGATACTAAGCGTTGGATAGCTATTGATGGGATAAACACGCGCCAGCGTACGGGCATGAAAAATTGAACCAAGACATGTCACGGAACCAGAAAAGTTTGAGGCTATTTACTATAGCCCGCGTGGGTACTGGAAAGGAGCTAAGCGCTGTAGATAAGCTGGCTAAAATGGCGCGAGTACCGCTGGAGGAAGCCAAAGCGTGGCTTGAAAAACAAGCCCTGTGGCAGATCTATTTGCCACCACCACGCTCGTGCCTAGAAGGAAGTTCGGTATTTACATACCTAATAGGCGTTCACCAGGCAGACCTACTGTTCCTACCCCACGATAAAAGGTACAAGTATGCCTTAACAGTCGTGGATGTAGCCAGTCGCTACAAGGAAGCCAAACCCTTGACCACGAAAGATTCGGTCCAGGTAGCCAGAGGATTGAGCGTATATACAAACGCCAGTCCGCTGGCGTGGCCAACAGAGCTGCAAGTTGACCCAGGGCGGGGAGTTCATGGGTGCCGTGTCACAACTGCTAGCCAAACCGCGATACAAAGGTCAGGCATGGCACGGGCGGAGCCCATCGCGAGCCAAGCCATAGTTGAGAGATTTAATAGGACTTTGGCTGGCTTATTCGGACATCAGTATCGAGAGATGGCCACCCGGGGAAGCGATCGACTGAATGGGTCCGCGAGGTTACCTAAGGTGGTGTCGGCAATCAACCATGAAGTCACCCGTCTCACCGGTAAAAAGCGGCAGACGCTATCAAACTAAAATCAATAGTTGCACAGTCGGCGCTCCTTTGCGTGGGAAGGAGAAACAGATACCAGACAGGGTCCTAGTGAGGTATCTATACCAGCCGGGGAACACGAGGGTGATAGCCGTAGCGAGCCACCGATCCTATATGGTCAGTCAAAACTTACAACATAGATAAAGTGGACATTAAAGCAGGCGAGCCTAACTTGTACTACTTGAGGGATGGGCGGGCAGAGGGTTTGTAAGAGAAGAATTATTGATCGTACCGTGCGGCACAGTGTTACCGCACAGTGTCACGTGATCAGGAAAGTGCTAGTTCAGGATAGACCCGTTAAACCGAGATGATTCAGCTATGTCCCCGGTAGCTCAATCGGTTGAGTGGTGCGGCCCATTATGTATAATTTGGCGCGAGCTATACATGTGGGTTCGTATCCCGCCGTTGCCTCAGGAGATTCCTTGCAACTTTGTGTGATGTGAGGTGTTTGGTAAGGAATCAAGATCATATCAGTTGGGTCGCTGAAAGCACTTAGCTGAGAGGGGCACTCTCATGGTGAGAGAAAGGCAGCCGGCACAATTCCCAAGGGGAGGAAGCGCAACATCATCTTTCGATTTCACCCTTGGGGAATTGTGGCTGCCGGGACATTTTACTACTTTTTAGAACCTTTCTATCTTTCTATGTCATAGCGGCACGTTATACGCAATCCCACACACTTCAACCGCGGGAGTTCGTATCCCGCTAGCGTCCCAAACTTTTCTATAGTAGGGGTAATGGTAGCAAGAGCTAAGGGTCCGACCAAAGCCTTATTTGGGGAATAAGGCTTTGCAGAGGCTTTTGTTGGACCTGGTCCCGTACAATCATTCCCTCTACTACTGTTGGTTTAATGTTAGTTTTAATGTAACGCCTCTTCATTCATGATTTTCTTTTCAATTTTAACATGATTGTCGGAAGCTGATTTTGAGTTTGGCATATTACGTTTTCCAAGACAGCACTTTTATTTGTTATCCTGAAACCACTGGCGATTCCATCTAAAATAAGGTGTTTATTGTAATCATCTGCTAATTCCTGTTGCCATACATGAAGGTACTCTGTAAGAGGGTTAGGATAGAAACTCACATGTGACGTGGCTGGTTGTGGCTGTAGGAGTTTCCCGCAACTGCTTGTTGTACTGGGCCCAGTGTTGTTGAGACTGGGGCTGGCACCTGGGGGGCCGGGTGTCTCCACTGGGGGTGAGGACCACGGGCGCTGGATACACACATGGGCATACTTACACCGTGGGAATCGGCAACCATTTGGGTTTTGAAAGTTTAGGCATATGGTGTCATTTGGGTTAGAGCTCCTATTGTGAGATGACAATCTGGTTACTTTTTATCCCACCGGCATGTAATGCAGTGGGATATAGTCGTCGCCTCGTCCGTCTGTCCGTCCATCCGTCCGTCCGTCCGTAATCATTTTGTTTCCGGAGCATAACTCAAAGACCGTTTGATATTTTTCAACCAAAATTGGTAGATATGTCAAACATAACCTAAGGTGGTGCCTTTTGCTATTTACAGATTATTGTCATTTTTATTTTTCTCGGTTTCCATGGAAACGTTTTGGACTTAGTCTTAAAGAAGGGTGGGCTTCGTTTCCGGAGCATAACTCAAAAACCGTTCAGTATTTTTCAACAAAACTTGGTAGATATATCAAACAGATCCTAGAGTGGTGCCTTTTGCTATTCACAGTTTTTGGCATTTTTATTTTTCCCGGTTTCCATGGAAACGATTCGGACTTAGTCCCAAAAGTGAGGGGTGGGCTTCGTTTCCGGAGCATAACTCAGGAACTGTTCAATATTTTTCAACAAAACTTGGTAGATCTATGAAACAGAACCTTAAGTGGTGCCTTTTGCTATTTGCCGATTTTTGGCATTTTTATTTTTCCCGGTTTCCATAAAAACATTTTGAACTTAGTCTCAAAAAGTAAGGATTGCTTTCGTTTCCGGAGCATAACTCAAGAACCATTCAATATTTTTCAACAAAACTTGGTAGATATATCAAACAGATCCTAAAGTTGTGCCTTTTGCTATTTGCAGATTTTTGGCATTTTTATTTTTCCCGGTTTCCATGGAAACGATTCGGACTTAGTCCCAAAAGTGAGGGGTGGGCTTCGTTTCCGGAGCATAACTCAAGAACCGTTCAATATTTTTCAACAAGACTTGGTAGATATATCAAACAGAACCTTAAGTCTTGCCTTTTGCTATTTGCAGATTTTGGGCATTTTAATTTTTCCCGGTTTCCATGGAAACGATTCGGACTTAGTCCCAAAAGTGAGGGGTGGGCTTCGTTTCCGGAGCATAACTCAGGAACCGTTCAATATTTTTCAACAAAACATGGTAGATGAATGAAACAGAACCTTAAGTGGTGCCTTTTGCTATTTGCAGATTTTTGGCATTTTTATTTTTCTTGGTTTCCATGGAAACATTTTGGACTTAGTCTCAAAAAGTAAGGATTGCTTTCGTTTCCGGAGCACAACTCAAAAACCGTATAATATTTTTCAACAAAACTTGGTAGATGTATCAAAGAGATCCTAAAGTTGTGCCTTTTGCTATTTGCAGATTTTTGGCATTTTTATTTTTCCCGGTTTCCATGGAAACGATTCGGACTTAATCCCAAAAGTGAGGGGTGGGCTTCGTTTCCGGAGCACAACTCAAAAACCTCTCTATATCTTTCAGCAAAACTTGGCAGATATGTGAGGCAGATCTTGAAGTGGTGCCTTTTGCTATTTGCAGATATTTGTGATTTATTATTTTCTCGGTTTCCATGGAAATGATTCGAACTTAGTCTCAAAAAGGAAGGGATGGGTTTTGTTTCCGGAGCACAACGCGAAAACTTCTTAATATCTTTCAGCAAAACTTGGCAGATATGTGAGGCAGATCCCAAAGTGGTGCCTTTTGCTATTTGCAGATTTTTGTCATTTATTTTTTCATGATTTCCATGGAAACGATTTGCACTTAGTCTAAAATCAAGCTGGACTTTAAGTAACTGTCAGATGATTTGTTCTTTCAAAGATGTGGGGGCCGGGGGGATATGTCATCTTCTGATGACTCTTGTTTATCCCTGTGATCCCTTTTATCCAGGTAGTAGAAGACTGCGTGAAAGTTGATATCAGACCATCTACTGTGTTTCTCTGCCTGTGCTTTCCTATGCATGTGGTCGAACATCATGACTGAAGACACTGTGTGACTCTGAAGATAGTCTCCAACGCACTCTGTATTCTCTTAAATATTCGATTAACCCCTGTGAGTCCAGTTTACTCTCGTTGAGAAGTTTGGATAGAATTCTAGCATTAGAAAATATCCACTGGGGCACTGAAAGTTCTTCAGGCTTTAGTTTTGAATTTCCTTTCCTTACAATGAGCTGAGAAGCTTCTGGTAGATTTACAGTTTCTTTGTTTTCACAATTTACAGTTTTTGGTCTAGTCACAAAGTCTGCTATGAACAGTGGCTTCTCACCTGATGTTCACACGTCCCGAGTAGCCAAACCGGTATCTTGCTGTGTGTGGAGCAGGTCTGTGAGCAGGACAGAGCTAAGGGCGTCTAGTAGCGATATCTGCTCTGTGTTAGCAGCTAGGGAACTGGTAGTTGCATGGTCCGCGACCACAGGGTTTTGCAGATTTTGATATTTGGTTTCGTCAACAAGTCTTTCTAAAAGTTTTCTCTGTGCCATTTTGAGGCCGAGTTCTGAAATATCTGTAGCAGTAAGTTGCCCGAGTTTTTGTGGTGAGTCAAACTCTTCATACAGCAGAATGTCGATTGTCTTATTATTAAAACCCTTACTTTGTAGCCACTGGGTGAAGCTCTCGGCCATGATGCACTCACTGTCCCGCCGGCCGGTGAGAGACTGGGTCTTGCTCGACTGCTGCATGTGCAGGGGCTCTCGGGTGTTTCCGCCACGCTCAGATCACAGCCGGTTCAATCAGTTCAATCATTTTCCCTCCCATAATAAATATATAGCAAATGTATACTCTGATACTGGCTTCAAGCCATATAAACTACAGTATTCAAGATGAAAATCACAAATAGTGAAATGTACATCTGTCTAAAAACTTCTTCTTGAAATATAAGAATATGGTAATGTAAAGTATACTGATCATACTGTGTATTTTTATATACTCAGTTTAGTAAAATACTGTGTCTAATTCATTGTATTGAGCAGTATATTGGTGGGTATGTTTGTATTCAGATCATTTGATTCCCCATGTTTATTATAATCATAAACATTTCTGAATAATATTGGTATGGTAATGTTTTCATGTTGTTTTGCAAATTCAGACAATTAATTGCGACAACATACTGTGAAAAAAGTATGCACAATGATGGATCTGTTTATTTTGTTTTACAAATGATATGTGCCAAAGTAACTCAAGATAAGGAATATATATTATTCTATATTATTCACTGAGAGTCGACAATTTTACAAGCACACCCACAGTTAAAAAAACAATGAACTGAACTTTATCAGTTCCTCATTTATTATTATTATCCTCATTTCCTTTATTTCCTCATTATGCACAAGAATAGTTGAGATAATAAATGGCTTTTCATATTAACAAAAATACAGAGGCTAAATATCAGAATGACAAACCCTGTCATTAACATCATTCATGTGGATCTGAACGCTTTCCCTAGTTGTTTCACTAGGAGATTGAAACATAAACCTACCCCGTAACAATGGAAGATACGGGACATAATTGACGATATTTTCGTCATCAAATATATTAACAGAAAGATGCTAACTACAGTTAAACCTGCCAACACCGGCACCTATCTAATCCAGCACACTGTCAAAACCGGCAGAAAATTTTGGCCCTGCCATTTTACAACGATATTATGATCATTACAACATTGTCTAATCCGGCACCTGTCTATTCCGTATTCCAGCACAATTTCCGGTCCCAACAAAGCAATTTTTCCTGTAATTAACACTGTCTAGACCGACATGGGTATTAGCAGTTCAATCAAGGACCCATAATCCAATACACTAATCAATCCTCTTGGCACGGCCTGACCTCATTTCGCCTACACCCTTATCAAATCAAATTTAGGGTTGACTGCACATCACATAAATGCTGTTATACCTTTAGAAAAGTAGACTCTTCCACTAATGAGGTATTCTTCCATGAATGAAAATAAACTCTTGCAATGATGATTTATACTTTATTATTACCCATACGGGCTAGGATACACAGGTGATTATTTTTGTGATAATCGCACATGTGCTTTTCAGTCATTCTCAACGTTGATTGGTCAGCTAAGCAGAGAAGAAATATGTTTGGTTGATGGAACTACTTTTCATGATCAAAGTTCATTGACAACTTTTACCGTTTCATTGATAATTAGAACGTGCTGTACTCAACATTCCGAGGTTAAATGATATGAATACTCTTTTTATTAGACATTATTATTTTTCAATAAAATTGCGTTATAAATTGTAGTCTTTTTAAAATAAAAAACCCTAAAAAAACACACAATCGTTTGCATTGTTTGTAAACAAACATGGCCGCCATTAGGCTAACCCCCGATCAAGGCCCGAAAACGTCTCATCCAGACCCTCTCTGACAATGGTGTACCAGCACATCAAATCATGCAAATTTCGTGGCACAAAATTGTTCAATGAATAAACAGTTACTCTTCAATTAATGAGAAAGAACACCAGTCCATCAATAAATTGGTTTCAAACCCTTGTAACTCCACTGCTCTGTCCACTCATCCTCTGTCTCAGGCTGCTGCTATGACGTCACAGTCTTTGTCGCATGCCGTAATTCTTCATTATGTACAAACACTATTCTTAGGTCAAATTTATTGTGGTGTATTCCACTTCAACATCTCCGAATGACTCCTCTGTCAGTCGACAATCTGCTCCAAAGAGGCGTATTCTTCCCATTGAGTCGGATTCCAACTAGAGTTATCCTACTGGGAACTGTTGTACTCTACTGGCACCAATGACGTGACTGTAACATGCCTTCCACACAACAAAATGTTGTTTTATCTTCAAACTTGTTGAGTTTCTTGACAGAAATTTTTTTCTAGATGTATTCGTGGGATGGTTGTCTTTTAGATTTTCCAACACTTAACTGTTGACTTTCCCAAAAATTGACAGGTTTTTGCCAAAGTGTATTTCAACACTACACCGTCACCCGTCACTAGACACACGTCAGCCGTCACTAGACACACGTCAGTTGTCACTAGACACACGTCACCCGTCACTAGACACACGTCACCCGTCACTAGACACACGTCACCCGTCACTAGACACACGTCAGTCGTGAATGAATGATGTTCAGTCACATTGATTGATCAAAGAAATATTTAGCTGTTATTATGTTCAATGATATATTTAAAAGATAATTTTTATCATATCAACAAATGTTAATTAATTATTCCAGACATAATATTTTTGTTGTATTTTAAAGCGATTTTACGAGGTACTATTTTCCATAGCGTAGTTATGTTATTACCACTGGAGAAGTTAGGTTTAATACGTGCATGAATATGAATCAGCTGTTTAGAGTCTGTCTCCGGGTGGTTTTTAATTTGTGGTTCTTCTTTTTAAATTACATTATGGGTAATAAATAGAATAACCAACTCGGTACGAGTGATTACGGGAAATATGCCCTCGTTAAAATAATGTTCAGTGCCTCGCCAAGGCAACTCAGGCATATTTCCCGTAATCACTCGTACCTTGTTGGTTATTCTCTAAACAGGTCATATATTCAACAAGTTAAAATACCAATATCATCACAATGATCAGTCACATAAGTTAATCACCAACACCACCATCATCAGTGATACATTATCATCAGTCACAGAACAATTACTGTAATTTCACTAAATGTCCAACTGCATCTAGAAACTGCATCACAGTTTTTCGTCCAGTTGCCAGTTGTAGCTTTAGTCTCTCAATTCGTGCATCTCTGTCCCTGTCAATACATGCACGACGTTTCACCGCACCACCAAAAGCTGTCTGTCATCTAGACCGTTTATCTGCTGTCTCAATCTTCTTGATTTCCTTGATGAACTGGTAAATTTTGGGATGTGACTGGGGCATTATCTTCTTCGGTCCATTCTGAAACCGCTGAGTGTGATGATGATGATGATGATGATGATGATGATGATGATTTAGGGTTTTACGTCGGCTTCTAGCTGTAGCCAATGTCACCAACGGGGTAGGTGGAAGCTAGATTAATAAAACTAGGAAAAAAAACATTGGTCATTGTTAATGAATGAGAGAGTGTGAAACTTGCAGAGGTTTCTATATACTAGTATACAACATTGCAAAAACAGAATAAGATGAGATGAACATCTTATGTTTATACACTCAAAACATGTATGGTTGATCAAAGAAGAAGATGAGCAAGTCATGTTTATACACTCAAAACATGTATGGTTGATCAAAGAAGAAGATGAGCAAGTCATGTTTATACAATCAACACATGTATGGTTGATCAAAGAAGAAGATGAGCAAGTCATGTTTATACACTCAAAACATGTATGGTTGATCAAAGAAGAAGATGAGCAAGTCACGTTTATACAATCAAAACATGTATGGTTGATCAAAGAAGAAGATGAGCAAGTCATGTTTATACAATCAACACATGTATGGTTGATCAAAGAAGAAGATGAGCAAGTCATGTTTATACACTCAAAACATGTATGGTTGATCAAAGAAGAAGATGAGCAAGTCATGTTTATACAATCAACACATGTATGGTTGATCAAAGAAGAAGATGAGCAAGTCATGTTTATACAATCAACACATGTATGGTTGATCAAAGAAGAAGATGAGCAAGTCATGTTTATACAATCAACACATGTATGGTTGATCAAAGAAGAAGATGAGCAAGTCATGTTTATACAATCAACACATGTATGGTTGATCAAAGAAGAAGATGAGCAAGTCATGTTTATACACTCAAAACATGTATGGTTGATCAAAGAAGAAGATGAGCAAGTCATGTTTATACACTCAAAACATGTATGGTTGATCAAAGAAGAAGATGAGCAAGTCATGTTTATACACTCAAAACATGTATGGTTGATCAAAGAAGAAGATGAGCAAGTCATGTTTATACAATCAACACATGTATGGTTGATCAAAGAAGAAGATGAGCAAGTCATGTTTATACAATCAACACATGTATGGTTGATCAAAGAAGAAGATGAGCAAGTCATGTTTATACAATCAACACATGTATGGTTGATCAAAGAAGAAGATGAGCAAGTCATGTTTATACACTCAAAACATGTATGGTTGATCAAAGAAGAAGATGAGCAAGTCATGTTTATACAATCAACACATGTATGGTTGATCAAAGAAGAAGATGAGCAAGTCATGTTTATACACTCAAAACATGTATGGTTGATCAAAGAAGAAGATGAGCAAGTCATGTTTATACACTCAAAACATGTATGGTTGATCAAAGAAGAAGATGAGCAAGTCATGTTTATACGATCAAAACATGTATGGTTGATCAAAGAAGAAGATGAGCAAGTCATGTTTATACACTCAAAACATGTATGGTTGATCAAAGAAGAAGATGAGCAAGTCATGTTTATACAATCAACACATGTATGGTTGATCAAAGAAGAAGATGAGCAAGTCATGTTTATACACTCAAAACATGTATGGTTGATCAAAGAAGAAGATGAGCAAGTCATGTTTATACAATCAACACATGTATGGTTGATCAAAGAAGAAGATGAGCAAGTCATGTTTATACAATCAACACATGTATGGTTGATCAAAGAAGAAGATGAGCAAGTCATGTTTATACAATCAACACATGTATGGTTGATCAAAGAAGAAGATGAGCAAGTCATGTTTATACAATCAACACATGTATGGTTGATCAAAGAAGAAGATGAGCAAGTCATGTTTATACAATCAACACATGTATCGTGGATCAAAGAAGAAGATGAGCAAGTCATGTTTATACAATCAAC